GGCGCCTTTGGGACGCGGCCCCTTTAAGGACCACCCCCGCCACGCGCCGCTACCGCCCCTCGCCGACCAATCCCAGCGCACCATCCTCAGCCAATCACATCCCCCCTCCCCTCAGGCCCTCCAGCCAATCAGCGCCTCCCTCTCTCCACCCGCCGCCTCCTCGCTCCGCAGCCTGGCCGAGGCCTCCTCCGCGCCCCGGGGGGATAGAGCGCTGCCGCCCCGCYCGGTTCCGCCCGGGAACCCGCCCCCGCCGCCCCGCGCCCCGGGGATGAACCGCCGTTACCGTGCCGGAGCCCCCGGACGCTGTGTCAGCCATCTTGGAGCCATATGGAGCTGTGCGCATGCGCCAAGTAAGGCGGRGCGGGGGGGCGGAAGCGTGAGGCATTATGGGAGTTGTAGTAYTGGCGGGGTTTGACGCGTGGCATTGTGGGAGTTGTAGTGTTGGCGGGGGAGGAACAACATCTGGATCCGCCCCCCTGTCATCTCCCGGGGCACATCTGGATCCCGAGAGGGCGGAACGAGATGAGATTTACGGTCCCGTCCATCCCAAACCATTCTGGGATTCCACAGGACACAGGGACTTTACCAAATCGGCAAAGTCTCCATTGACATTGTGATTTATGGCATCCCTGGAGCTCGATAATTCCAGGATGTCCTTGCACCACGGATGTACCGGCTCCACTGATTAACTCTCCTTTCCGGCTGATTAGTCTCAAAAGAACACTTGAGAAAATCGCGATTTATCCCCCATTTCGCAAAGAGCCCAGATCCAAACCCCCTTCCACGGCATCGCGCTCCCACTTGGAAATGATTTACTAAAAAAGTCATTTTTACCCCTCGAAAAGCCCCGTAACCATGGCAGCCCCGAGGGTTTCCTGCTGTGCTACCGAGATCAAAGCTCTGCTGTCCCCAAAGCGCTCGGGGAGGACGGGACAGGAAACCACGGGGCTRCAGCTGCCACCTCTGCCTTCGAGAACCAATTGCTGAGTTCGAGAGGGGGAAAAAGAGATGTAAACAACAGCTGCCACACCGGGAATTAAAGGTCTTGGGGCTGGCTCCTGCGTGCTGCTGGGTTTCAGCTGCAAAATCCATGAAAAAGCTGGGAAATGTGAGGTGCAGCGGGATTGTTCCGAGCTGAGGCAAAGGAAACTTCTGGAACAGCAAAGGTAGGAGGCAAAGGGGTTKCTGGGCTGACATCTCCTGCCTGGTGTGCTTGGGGACAACACTGTCACCGAAATTGCGCAAAAACAAAAACTCTCCGACGTTTTTAATGTCAGAGAGTCGAGGCATTGCTTTGTTTTCTACCCAGGGTGTTGTTCTGGGRTGTGCCACAGAAATTATTTTGTCCCCACACAGCCACAGGGACACTTTCCCCTATCCCAGAGTGCTCCAAAACCCCGTCTGGCCAGGCCTTGGGAAATTCAGGGATCCAGGGACTCTGGACTTTGAGCTGGGAAGGGTCTGGAGAGTTCCTGAGAGAGCTGAGGAAAGGTTTGGAGAATCCTGAAAGAGTTGGGAATGGTCTGGAGAATCCTGAGGGAGCTGGGAAGGGTCTGGAGAGTTCCTGAGAGAGCTGAGGAAAGGTTTGGAGAATTCCTGAGGGAGCTGAGGAAGGGTCTGGAGAATCCTGAGGGAGCTGGGAAGGGGCTCAGCCTGGAGCAAAGGGGGATCAGGGGGGACCTTGTGGCTCTGCACAACTCCCTGACAGGAGGGGRCAGCCGGRGGGGATTTGGGATCTGATCCCAGGAAYAGGGACAGGAGGAGAGGGAACGGCCTCAGGCTGGGCCAGGGGAGGCTCAGGGTGGACATCAGCGGGAATTTCCTCATGGAAAGGGCGGCCAGGCCTGGGAAGGGGCTGCCAGGGAGRKTYGGRGTGCCCAGCCCTGGAGGGGTCACCTGGRTTATYGGGCACAGCTTGGACTCRRCGAYCCCAAAGCGATTTTCCAGCCTCAACAATTCCATGATTTTCTGATTCTATGAATCCAATTTGAAAGGCATCAAATCTGGAAGTAAAACCCAGYTGGCACCTCGTGTCCATCTCTTTTTCCTCTGTGGTCCCATCTGGAATTTCAATTCCATTTCCYCAAAGACTCCACAGGCACAGAGAGCAGGGAGGAATTTTCAAGATGCAAAAAAAAACTCTCAGAGTGCGAATTCCAGCGGGGAATTTTTCCAAGGAAAGCTTCTCCTGTCCCTGAAATCCCGCTGTGGTTTCTCAGAGTTGTTCCCTGGATGGGGTTGAGCAGAGGATGGAGCTGCTGCTCCCTCTTTTTTGGGGTTTCCCGGCTGGAGCAGAGGATGGAGCTGCTGCTCCCTCATTTTTGGGATTTCCTCGCTGTCCCAGCCCCGCTGCCAGCAGAGGGCACCAAGGGACCGAAATATTCTGATTTTTGAGCCGCTTCATTCCCAAACCCAAGCGAATTCATGTCGATTTTCACACCCCTCAGCTGCGAGGATCCCAAAAAAAATCCACTTTACACTGAAAAGCTCCTAAAATTCCTCAGAGTACAAAATCCGAGCGGTTTTGGGGTGCACTTTGAGAAACACCTGATGTGCTCTGGGAGCTGCTGTTGGGCCAGGAGGGAATAAACTGAATTTCTGGGAATATGTGGGGTTTTTTTTTCCCATCTGGACATCAGGTTGTGCCTTGAAGGAACGAGTATTGCAACACGGAGAGTTTAAAGCCATGGGGGCTGTTAATTGGCTGTTAATTTTTATATTTTATTTTCAGTTCTGAGAATTTTTTTATATATATTTGAGAAAAAATTATTTCCTTGTCGAATTGTTGGCAATTTATGGTTCTAAAGGCTCTGGAAGCGAAAATCTTGGAGTTTTCTCCCTGGATTTATTCCATGGCAGAAGAATTTGATTCAGAAAAAAAATTCCTGGTGAGTTTGGTGACGTGGACGAGCTCTGAGTGCTCCCATCCATCATGGAATTATCAATTTTTTTTACCCTGCACCAACATTTGGCTGTCAGGAGCCCATTCCTGGATTTTTTTTTTAAATTCAGGGGTTGGGGATGGCAGGGGAGGCAGCAGAGCTGGCGGTGTCACCATCAGGGAGGTGTTGGTGGCCCCRGAGCWGCCACTTTGGGGTGACAAAACRCCCCTGTGACCACAKGAACCACAGCAGGGCGGTGCCTGCWCCRGSCAGGGGGAAGGGAAGGAATCCTGGCGTGGTTTTTTTGGGGTGGGATGGTTTTTTTWGGGTGAGATGAGCTCAGGGTGGCTTTTTGGGGCAGTTTTGTCTTTGTTCCCTCCCGGCTCAGAGCGTCCAGGGCAAACCTGAACCATCCCTGCAGCAGATCCTGAGCAGAACTACGGGAAAGTTCAGAAAAATCTTCAAAAATAGGATTTTGTGCCATGGATTGCTGATCCCAGCCAGGTTTGGGGTTGTTTCATGAGCAAATCCCAATTTCTCATKGACAAGGGGACTTTTCCAGAGGATTCTGGGTCTCAAGGCTGAGAAAATCCTCAGCAGGTGACAACAACCAGGGTGACAGCAGATATTGTCACCTCTTCTCTCATTAAATCCATCATTTTTTAAGCTGCTGCTCCTTCTCAGCARAAACGCTTTGAGAAAACTCCTGGACCCCATAAATCCGAGCCCAGGGGCCGATGAAAGTCCCTTTTTTCCTTCCCAGTGGGATGTTTTGAGTACAGAAGGAATGGTGACGGATGAAATGCAGGGAGTTTTGTGAACTTTGGGAGCTTCTCCACRGCTCCAGCTGAGTTTAGAGCCGGGTTTTGGGCTGGTTTTTATTCGATCAGATCGGTTCCCCAAACCCGTTTGCAGATGAAATAAAAATCGGGGTGAGGAGCTGATTAAAGATCSTTCCTGAGAATAAAGCTGGGAGTTTATTCATCCAGGCTCCAAAAAAAAAAAAATTTAAAAATCTTCAGGGAAGAAGGGGAGACTTTTCAGGAAGAAATCCTGGAAAAGGCTGTTGGGAGAGTGGGGTTTGTGAAATCRCTGGAGTAACGTTGGGATTCTTTCAAGGATCTGTTTTTTTTCTTTTTTTTCCTTAAAAAAAAAGGGGTTTTATGGCTTTTCTTGATTTCAGAAGGAGCCGTGTCCCTAAAAATCATCCTCTCACCCCTTTCCACCCAGAACTGAACCCACAAAGCTCTGCAGCCTTTTAGGGTCCTGTCACTTCTTCCCACCCAAACCCACAAAGCTCTGCAGCAT